AATGGATATTAACAGATTTCTTTGGTTATTTCTGGGGTGGCCCTTTTTGTTCACTGGTCCTTTTTCTCCCCAACACCAGTGCATCAGTGTATGAAGTGTTACTGCTAAATGAAATCCATGCTATGCCAGGAAGAGAGGAAGCTCTGTTGGTATCTGCTACTCATGCATACGGTCTTCGGGAAGGGACTGAGAGAGCAAGCCAAATACATTAGCCAGTTTAAACACACACACACACACACACACACACCAATTATGCTTCTACCTTCAGTGTTTTGCCTAAGATAAGGTCTTAATTTTTTTTCCTCACTGCTTTTCAGTCTGAAAGTTGTTCGGCTGTGGAGCAGAGGGGAAGATGGTAAATAGGTTGTAGGATTTTTCTGAGAAAACCTGCATTACAACCAGATCATGTTTTCATTAACCGTGACAGGTTTTAATTTTCTTTTTAATCATGTGACTTTAAGCATGTTCTTCTGTTTTTTAATTAGTGCCTTTTCCCTTGTTTAACAAAAAAAAAACAGTTCACAATTTTCATTTTGTTTCTGTTTTTATGTAAATATTTAAGGAATTGAATGAGAGGAATGTAACTTTATTACATAAAAAGATCTCCATTTACCAGATGGAGCTTTAAAATATGTATACACATTTGATATTTTTCATACTAGTTGGGAAAAAAGGCATATAATGCCCCAAAACTCGCAGCCTGGGGTTCTTGAGCAAGACAGAGAAAATACCTCCAGTTTTTTTTTGGGGGGGGGGGGGAGATTGGCATATTTTACAAAGCCTAGAGTTAAATTCCAAATTATTTTCCCCAAAGACAGTAAGGCCTCAAGAAATTGAGCTTAATTATAGCCAATGGTTGACCCTAATGCTTGGGGAGGAGCAGTCCAGTCCCCTCTTGAGTTGGCTTGACTCACAATTGCAATCGGTGACTACCTTCCAGCAGTTCCATTTTCTACACCAGTATTACTGTAGCTGGAAGAATCCTCTTTCTTACTCAAAAATCCCAGAAGGGAGATTATATTCAACTTTTTATTCTGATAAAACTCATAGGTGCCATGCATAATATTATGAATGACTTAGACTTCTAAGACCAGGGAGAGCAACCTGCAGAGCTCCTGTGCCAACCAGTTACCTTATTTCCTTTTGCTGAGCTGCATACCTGGAACTTCTGTACCTTAGTAACGGACCCCAAAACTACCACAGAGACCTTCCCTTACAGAAAAGCGCTGTTCTGTCCAGATCGGGGTAGGGGGGAACCCTGTGTTGGTGGGTGCCTTTTTAGACTAAGTGTTACAGGTATTATTCCTGAGATGGACTCTGCCTTATATTTCCATTTCTCTCAGCAGGTGAAAAAAAGAAAGAAAGCTACCCTGTAGCATATTAATTTCTCATGTTTTTCTTGCTAGCTGTCTTTCTCTCCATTCTCCCCATCCCCACTTTCTTTTTTTAAAATTATTGGAAAAGGAATTATGGCATTCTACATTTGGACCATTTGATTGTTTTTTTCTTATTTTGGAATTGGTGTATATCATGCAGCCTTGCAGACATAATGTCTTGTGTGTATATATATATATTAAATCAGTGTTTAAATAAAACAGGCCTATGTACGTAATCCGTTAACGCAGCAGCAGCATTTGGTAGATAGTAATTAACTGTGAATAATAAATATACAACAAATTCTTCACTTGAATATCAGTGTCTTCTTTATTAACACTTGCAATTAAATAACACATTTAAGAAATCAGTGGGTGTTTGATTATAGTAACATACTTTCAGAAATGGGAAGGACCAGGTAAAAACTTAATTTTTGATTTAAATTAAAATTGTTACTCTAGCTTCCCTTTGGAGCACATAAAGCAGGGAAAGCCTGCTGAGCATATCTCCTTGATAAGCAAGCATTGTTAAATGAGTTTTGCTCCATTTTACAATATTTCTTGCCATAAGTGAAACACTCTTATTAAGTTAGCAACACGGCTAAGTGAATTTGGCTTTCCCATTGACTTTGTCAGAAGGTTGCAAAAGGTGATGATGTGACACCACTGCAGCCATCATAAATACATGCCAGTTGCCAAGTGTCCGAATTTTGATCTTGTGACCATGGGGATACTACAACGATCATAAGTGAGAAAAACTTATGACAAAGTCCTTTTTTTTTAGTGCCGTTGTAACTTCAAGTGGTCACTAAAAGAATGGTTGTAATCTGCACTTTCTCACCAGGGATAATTAGGGCCTGGGTGTATATGGGTGTTTGTTTATCTGATCAGGGTACAAAATTAGCTTCACTATTTGTTATCTTCTACTTTTAGTGTTCAGTTCCACAGCTCTATGTGCTTTAATCCAGAATGATTCCTTGCTGCACACAGCTATCCCTTGGTTTCTCATAAGTTTTGAAAGTGGCTTTTCTAGAAAGAAGAGGCACTTTGGCAGTTTTATTGAATGCATTGCAGAGGGCTTTCTATCCTGAGAGAAATTTGTTATATCTAAGGACCAGTTTTGGAGGACAAAGGCATAATCTATTATGGACCTTTACAAAAGGTCCATAATAGATTATAGATTATTAGACCTGTACTGTGTCATTCAACCTGGGGACTGCTTTTTTTAATTAATCTTGTATTGAATGCTTTAATTTCACTACTATGATTTTAACAAAATGGCTCAGAAAATAAAAGCATAACTTTCTTAAGGATTTGCCTATTTTTATCCAATTAAGATTCTTGTTTATTCCCCAAATAACCAAGTATTACACAGTATATAGTATGGTCTTTCAATATGTTTAATTATACCTAATCACGCAAATAGGTTTTTTTAACACTTTGCACAACCATATAGGTTGGTCTATTTGTGATTTTACCAGCTTTTAAACTAAACATTTTCCAGATTCAAAAAAAATGATTTTGAGTTCAACAAATCAGATTATAACCTTGTATACCAGCTTCTGTAATTCCAAGGTAAAGGCTACAATTATTTTAGTTTGGATGACCAAATGGCTGTATATGTACATGACATGCTGAATTGTAAATTAGCCAATCACATTTTATCCAGTGTGTTTTGCGCACTCAGCCAGTTTGTTGATCAGTTGCAATGATATCAATTGAGTAAATCACGCTTTCCAAAATGCAGATGGGCCCATCAGACAAACAAATTGGAGAGACTGGTTGTCCGCTTGATTTCAAATTTTTAAAAAAGCTCTTAATTTGGCATTGTTACAGAATGAAATTTATATATATATATATTATACTTTACCTCACCCCAATTTGAGATATGCTGCAAGGAAATTAAAAGACAAGAGCAAAACTGTTTTGAAACAGTTCTTTAAGGTTCACTTGAATAACCTGCTACCAATGTGATCTTTGCTGAGTTCTGCTTGCAAATTATGTTCCATTCGGCATGCAAAATGTATTTTGGGCAAATATCATCTCTCTAGATGACATATTCATCCAAGCTTATATTTAAAAAGGAAAAACATACACTTACCTGTTACTTAAATTGTTAGCTGTGCAGCAGAAGGCATATGGCTGACATTTAAATCTTGGCTGCTCCTGGGCCTATGCTTCTACTACTCTAAATAGACACTAAGTAACCACAGCAACAACAAACTTGCAATATAGGCGTTCAGGCAGAGTCAGTCTTCTCCAAATACCATCACTTAAATTTGTCATCTTATGGTACAATGGAAGCATGCCTTCTTTCTGGCAGCCTCCTCCGCTCTCCTCACTTTCTAAAAGTCTCTTAGACTAGCTGTGGTCCCAGGTCTGGGATTGGAGTGGCTGTGGAGCAGAGTTAGGGAGTGTCATTTTGGTCCAGGCAGTTCTGAGGTTTTTGGTAGTGTTTTTAATATATGTATTGGACTGGTTGTATACTTGCAGCATTAGAGGGCCTTACCAAATCCATTTTTTTTAAAAAAAATCCTCATTCAATGTTAGAAAAATGTGACACACTTTGATTAGATACGTATATGGGGACAATGGTTGCAAGTGCCCAATCCTTGGGGATTCAGCCATGGGTGTTTATGCAGGCAAAAAGGGAGCCCAGAGTGGGAGCCCAGAAGTTCAAGTTATTTTTAATGGCCCCTTCAGTGATCAGGTCTTCTGTGGTTTTTCCTGGTCTTAATTGAACAATAAGATTCTTGATCTCTCTCACTGTCACTGGTCCACACATTGCCGGATTTTCTATAGTTTGACTTTTCACAGTGTCCAGATATAGTTCCTGAAAATGTGCCTCCCAAATCCACTATGGATGGACCATCACTTTGGAGCCGAGGTGGTGCAGTGGTTAGAGTGCAGTACTGTAGGCTACTTCAGCTGACTGCTAGCTGCAGTTCAGTAGTTCAAATCTCATCTCAGCCTTCCACCCTTCCGAGGTGGGTAAAATGAGGACCCAGATTTTGGGGGGAAATACGCTGACTCTCTAAACCACTTAGAGAGGGCTGTAAAAGCACTGTGAAGCGTTATATAAGTCTAAGTGCTATTGTTATTGATGTCATGAGATGGAATTGAGTCTTTGGGTTTGACCTCCTGATTGAGATGTGCCCGGTTGTTTCTCATGGCTTCCTTTTTCTTGCATGTCAGCATTGTTTTATGTGTTTCTTCTGTTGGAGGAAATCCTGTACAATTTATGCTGTGTTGGATAATCAAGCCTGGTAAGAGGGTTGTTGTTGTTGTTTTGCCACTAACACAGTCTTGGTCAAACCATGATTTGGAGTGGCATTGTTGTTGTCTTCAGGGCGCACTATTACCATGGTTTAGATGTTGGTGGAGCTCTTAGATATGGGCATTAAAATTTTCTAAAAGTGCATCAGGAGGCTCAGCTGATGTCAGGGCAAACTTTAGGCACCATCAGTGATCTGAAGCCCATAGCTCAGTTACTTGGTTTAAATATGGGGTCCACTTATCCCGATGGTAAATTCTTCCTAATGGCATTAATGAGGGTTGGTAGCAACCCTTATTGCTCAGGATTTATTTAAATATTTTCAGTCAAGGAACTCGGTATGCGTTCCTTGAGTGAAAACATTTAAATAAAGCAAAATTGGGAGATGATCACTATAAAATTTAGGAATAACTCGTAGGGCTTGACAAAAGGGAAAAGGTCCCTAGAAACAATTATATAATAAATTGCACTCTTTCTGGAACCAGATATATAGGATCATTTGGCTAGATGGTCAAAGGCCCCATTTAGAATGTGGTGAATGTAAAGACTGTTTAAGCCACTCAGAGATCTGCAATGTTTGTGTCAGCCTCTGCTTGCTGCTGCTTCGGCTGCCATTGAAACGGGAGGGGGGGTATGGTATTTGGGAGGGGAATCATGATGTGCTGGAGAAAGCTTCTAGATGCTGTTTGACCATCTTACTGCGCATGTGGAAGAAGGGAGTTTCCCGCCAAGGTTAACTGTCCAGCATTCCATCCAGATGATACCTTTTGAAGTTATCTCCCACCTGACAGTTGGGTGCATTATAATTGGACTATGTACAGGGGTGCCAAGGGGAGGGGATTGAATTGTACTTGATATTATCCACTTTTGCGCCTAATTAACCAGACTCAGCTTTGCTTTGCAACTGTTCATTTATAATTAGTAAAAGTACACTTGATTTCAATTCAAATGGAGTCCAGTGNGCCGCGCAGGTGCGCACCTTAGAGGGAACAGTGGTTGTGAGACCCTCTGTGTGGTATCAGTGAGGATTGTTGTTCACTTACCTTCCTCATTGCAGAGTTAACATCCCTGCTTTGGCTATTGGACTCTGTATCTAGGTTGGTGGAGAAGTTCCGTAGGCTTACGGTTTTGAGGGACTTCACTCTTCCTTCCCTGGGCCCAGGGTCTGAGGTAGCACAGGAGTTCAGGGCAGCCATGGACCTGCACTAAGACTTATGTACTATGTTTTAAAAACCAGAAGGCATTGTATGCCATTTGGGCCTCAAATGATAACAATGCTCTGTCAGCCACCCTCTTAATCTTGAGTCGGGTTATTTAGATGAAATGCAAGAATAGTTGGAATAACAACTTCTGGTTAGATGAATCACTTGCTAAAAGAATAATTTGTTACCATCATAGCTAGTCTGAATCCCTACAGTCCATTATTGATTGTAGACATTAGTTGAGCATTTCTGCTGACTCACCTGAATCTGATCAAAGGCAGAGCTGGAGTTATTTGTGATTTGTACATAGAACATCATGTTCTAGAGCCATGATGGTGAACCTATGGCACAGGTGCCACGGGTGGCCCGCGGAGCCCTCTGCCAGCATGTGAGCCATCACCCCAGCTGAGCTCTACCACGCATGTGCACGGGCCTCCCGCCTCCCAGCTGATTTTCGGGTCTCTGCAGCATGTGTTGCTTAATCAAAATGCAATTAAAACACTATACAAGCCATCGAGAATATAACTATATACATCCAACAGAAGTGCCTCACAGGAGCAGGTAGAGGTGATTTCTAGAGAGGCAGGAAATGCATCACTAAACAATGGAGATGAATACTAGAGAAGAATAATCTGCATAGAAGGCAGACATAACACCTGTAACAGCCTAGGCATGGGCGGGGGGCACCCCCCCTTTTGGTCCCAGGAGGCTTCACGGAGGCCTGCTAGGCCCAAAACGGGGAGTGACGGGAGAGAGCAAGGGGGAGCACACATGCATGTTCAGGAGGCGGGGGGGAGGTCACGGACACATTATGTTATAGGTATGTGCACACATGCGCGCTTTCAGCACACAAAGGCAAAAAGGTTAGCCATCACTGTTCTACAGTTTATTAGATGAACTACTTGTGGAAAAAGACTTAATCTCTCATATTCTTGTCTGCTAGAATAAAACCACAAATAACCTTTTATTCATTTTGTCTATGAATCTCACATACGAAGTTCCTCATCAAGCTATAAAAGAAGGAAGGAAATAGAGGAAGAGGTGGATACATGAAGATGCAAAATGAATTTTATTTTGACAGCTTAAATTTACATTAGTGTAGCAGATTTGTGGTTCTCCAGTTTTTTATTATATTATCTAATTGCTATCATAGTCAGGGGTAACTGATGCAGGGAGTTACCATTAAGTAACATCTGAAAAGGCATAGTTTTCTCATCTCTGGATTTCATGAATCCTCCTGTCACCATTAAAATTTTACTTGTGCAGATTGTGTTTGACATATTACCACAATTGGGACCAGAATTTAGATTGCTAAGAAGGCAGTTGTTAAGTGAATCACACTAATTTTATGAACTATTTTAACCACTGAATTGAATCACTGCAGCTGTTAAGTGAATCATGCAGTCATTAGGCCAATTCAACTTCCTCCATTGACTTTGCTTGTCGGAATCAAACTGGGAAGGTTGCAAATAGTGATCACATGATTCCAGAACACAGCAATCGTCATAAAAAAATGCCAGTTCCCAAAGTTGCCCGAGTTTTGATCATGACATTGCGACATAATTGTGAAGACTGGTTGTGAGTCATTTTTTTTAGTGCCATTATAACTTTAAACCACCATTAAAGAAATGGTTATGTTGAGGACTACCTGTATAAATGAGTTATTTGAATAGCCTTTGTTGTTAAAGCAGCCTCATGCGTATTCAAATCACATCTGCGCAGTAAGATGATAAAGAGTTAATACTTCACTGCCCAATGTTTGTAGATCTATTTCATATTTTAGATACAACCTCAAGAATTTGAAAATGCTGCTCACTTTTTATCATAAGGCACTTTAAAGCTGTAGTTGGTTATAAAATTCAGTCTCGACATTTTATGTATATCAAAATAAGCGCAATATAGAAGTAAGACTTGATGCTGTTTCTATGACTGAATGAATTAACTCGCAAACCAAGATGCCATTTGTTGTCATCTGTCAGTATCAACAGCTTCAGATGTACTGACTGTAGGCGAGAGACCATAGTTCGTGCCACAGGAAAAAAAAACACGAGTGATTTGGAGGCCTCAATAAATTAATCCCCTCTTCTCTTCTTTACAGCAACCATCATACGTACAGGCTCTTTTTGATTTCGACCCTCAGGAGGAGGGAGAGCTGGGCTTTCGCCGCGGAGACTTTATCCAGGTCCTTGACAATTCTGACCCCAACTGGTGGAAAGGAGCCTGCCATGGACAAACAGGCATGTTTCCACGCAACTACGTTACCCCTGTGAACCGGAACATCTAGAGCAGATGGCTAAAGATTATTTAAGGAAAGAGGAAAAAACAGTACAGTCCACATTCAGAACCGAACAGCAGCCAGAGATCTCCAGTCATCAGGCCATAAAACTGAATCCCCTCAGGTCTGCATGAGGGGGAACACTTTTTTTCACTCAGAATGGAACTTTGTGGGGAGGGGACAGGAGAAGGGTCCAACTTATGCACCAAAACTTTTCTTTAAATTAAAATGGATATTAACAGATTTCTTTGGTTATTTCTGGGGTGGCCCTTTTTGTTCACTGGTCCTTTTTCTCCCCAACACCAGTGCATCAGTGTATGAAGTGTTACTGCTAAATGAAATCCATGCTATGCCAGGAAGAGAGGAAGCTCTGTTGGTATCTGCTACTCATGCATACGGTCTTCGGGAAGGGACTGAGAGAGCAAGCCAAATACATTAGCCAGTTTAANTTGCTTTTTAAAAGGCATATTTGGTTTACGTTAAAACAACTTCAACACACACAATGTTCTGATTGCACCAGAAATGCAGTACTCATCTTTATCTTTCACAGAGGCACTGAGTTTTATAAATATGAGCATGATAGTGTAGAATAATCATATCCAAGGACCAGTGGTGGGTTTCAAAAATTTTTGGAACCTCTTCTGTAGGTGTGGCTTGCTTTTCAAGTCCACTGGTGGAACCTCTTCTAACCGGTTAGGTAGATATGATGAACTGGTTCTACCGAATAGGTGCGAACTGGTAGGAACCCACCTCTGCTCTAAAGTAAACATTTTCAATTTCATTTTACTTCTCTGCAAGAATAAGCCAATGTTTCTCCCATTTAGCCTGTATACAATCTCCCCACTCCCCTTGGGCAGATTTATTCAATTTTAGTTGGCTGGTTTGTACTTATTCCCAACTTCCCCTTATCCCAAATTTACTGCTCAGCTCTCTTTCATCATGTTTTAGGAAAAGAACCATCTGTAATCAAAGCCAAGCAGGAATTGTGTTATGGTGTATCTGTGTTACCCTTTCATTTATTCACAAGCATTGTTATTTTAACAGGTATAAAAGCAATCTTAAGGGAAAGAAGAGAAGCCTTGTCCAGATTATTATTGGCAACGGTGTGGTTCTGCTCCCTTTTTAATCAGGATTTGGCATACAAAAATTGCTTTCTTAGTCATAAACACATTGACAAAGGGCACCAAACAAAACAGGCTTTACCGAACCAAACCTGCTGGGTATTGGCCCCCAGTAAGCTCTTTATAATACTGTGGCAAGAAAATTGAGAAGTATCAACAAAACTCAGAAAATAAATGAGCTATTTAACAATGCTCCAGGTTTTGTATCAGCTGTTGCAGCTGACAGCTTACAAAAGTTGTATACAGTAAAAGGAACTTAAATATCCTTTGCATCAGTCTCCAGTTATGAAATTTGGCCCATCAGTCTTAATGCTGCGCTCAGATATTTCATATCATTGTGTCACACACACCCCTTTAAGAAAAGTTCAAGGGTCTTCCACAGAAATTCAAGGGAATGTAATCAAGATTTCCACTGAATATCCATTAGAGGGTTGCCATGTTACCATCCAGAATAATTCATAATTAAAAAGCATTTGGGTGAGAGTCTTAACAACTAACCTTTGCTTTTAAAGGTAAAACCTTGTTGCACTGCAATACTTCAATGGTGAGACCCATTTCTTATTGATTACTGTAAATTTCTATTTCCATACCGTGTTTCCCCCAAATAAGACAGANTCCATGTTCCTCCCCAACCTCCTCACTGTCAAAAAATTTGCTGCTAGCTCCTTTGGCCTTGGCGGGCCTTTATATGAATATAAAGTCTAAGCTACAACATCTAAAGCAGACCTCTCAAACTGGTGGCCCACAGGTTAGATGTGTCACACATAGGCCATGCCCACCCCGGTTACTCAAAGGCAAAAAACTTCATGATACATCATGATATGTCATGTGATGCAATCAAGTTTGACACCTGTGATCTAAAGGAAAGCTTTGAAGCTAAAAGTGAAGCATTTTCTACACAGCTGAAACCTCAGTGCTATTTTCCCTGGATTTTATTTTTTGACATATTGTTCTTTAAAAAGGTAAAGGGAAAAAAATATTTTTTTTTCTGAAAAGTTATTTATTTCCCAGAACCTGCAGATGATCAAAGGAATTTAAAAAAAAACATCATGTTTTGCTTATCTTTGATTCCCCTGACTAGCTTTATTTCTTTAGGACATTAATAACACTGTTGTCATTGTTTGATTGAAGGCGATATGGACTCTCTTGTACGAACTCCAGAAGGTGATAGAAAGGACGATTCAGAAAAAAAAATCAATGAGCTATTTTTCAAGCTATCATAGGTAGGTACAAGCTAGGGTATGAAATATCACCAAGTGTTCCATAAATAAAAAGCAGCACAAACTATATATTATATGATGGAAGGCAATCACACAAGATACTGTATATAAACCTGAGATGACAACTGCAAAGCTAACAGATGCTGATCACCTATATTCAGCCTTAATAAAACACAAACAAGTTCAAAATCCATTGCTTTTCCATCAGCTGCTGCTTTTTTTATCAGCTTTCTAGATGCAATGGATTAACAAAAATGCACCTGCAATGGAAGTGCATAAGCTACACTTCTAGGCATAGGGCAAGTTGATAAAATTAGTTCTATGTCTGTTCATTAGCTGCAATTATACTAATTATCTTAAAAATCACTCTGAAGAGGAAAATACACAACACTGTCATATTCACCATAGCCTATGCAGAAGCAGCCAAAAAAGCCAATACAATCCTAGGCTGCATTAACAGAGGCATAGAATCAAGATCACATGATGTGTTACTAGCAATAGCAATAGCAGTTAGACTTATATACCGCTTCATAGGGCGTTCAGCCCTCTCTAAGCGGTTTACAGAGTCAGCATATTGCCCCCAANTTAACAGGACGGTCATCTCCCTATTCTACTCTACTCTATACTCCCTATTCTACTCTACTCTACTCTACTCTACTCTACTCTACTCTACTCTACTCTATACTCCCTATTCTACTCTACTCTCCCTATTCTACTCTACTCTACTCTATACTCCCTATTCTACTCTACTCTACTCTCCCTATTCCACTCTACTCTACTCTACTCTACTCTACTCTCCCTATTCTACTCTACTCCACTCTACTCTACTCTCCCTATTCCACTGTACTCTACTCTACTCTACTCTACTCTACTCTCCCTATTCTACTCTACTCCACTCTACTCTACTCTACTCTCCCTATTCTACTGTACTCTACTCTACTCTACTCTACTCTATACTCCCTATTCCATTCCATTCTATTCTACTCTACTCTACTCTACTTCCTATTCTATTCTATTCTACTCTACTTTACTCTATTCCACTTCCTATTCTGTTCTGTTCTGTTCCATTTCATTGAGATTGGACAACCATTTGTCTGAAATGGTATAGGGTTTCCCCGTCTGAACAGGGGTTGGACTAGAAGACCTCCAAGCTCCCTTCCCACTCTGATATTCTGTTAAATGTCCAAGATTTCTGACATGTTGTTTGGGTTCCCTCAACCAATTTTCAGTCAACCTAGTCCAGGTCTGCTTGATCTTTTTGCTAACTGCCAAGATTTGCAACGTGTTCCCTTCCGTTGTGGTACTTTGCTTATCTCAGAGCTTTCAAACACGCTCCCTCTTGCTCAGTCCACCTTTCAGGAACGTTTATGGGACGCGTTGACTCGAAACCTGTTCCGAAGTGCCTGTTACGTCCCATATCAGCCGCTTTGTCTTACGATCTGTCCAGTTTAATGAGGTTGGACTGTGACTTTTGCGGGTTTCACAGGGAAACAATATCAGTCGCACCTAAAATGATGGCGGGGAAGAGAGGAACCTTCAGATAAATAACAGCTCAGAGCCAGCTCTTCGGATTGTTCAGCTTGTGTACAGTAAACCATCGTTCAAAATGTAAGGCTGCACTCGGGATCGTGATTTCTTTCTCTTTTTTTTCCTTGGCTCCTCAGGGATCGATCTGCTCAGACTGCCTCATCGTCACTTTCTGTGGTCCTTGCAACCTTTGCCAGCTCAAGAGAGATATCAACAGGAGGAAGCAGTTAGGGATTTTCTAGGTAGGTTTGCAAATACTTGCTACCTGTGGAGATGGGGTGATTGGGTGATACAAATGAGCAATTCTCCAATGTAATCCTTGTCCTGTCCTCTTTTTTCCTTGAAAAGTTTTTCTTATTTTATTCTTCCATCACCTCTCTTACATCATTAATCTTACAGTGTGTCATCTGGGTGCGGTTTTTGTCTCATCCTATTTAACAGTTGCATCGTTTTTAATCTATTTTTATCTTGCCTTTACATTTACATTTCGATTTATTTATTTATTATTTATTTATTAATTAGACTTAANGCGCTTTCGGGCGGGGGGGGGGCTGCCTTGGGAAGCCCAGGCCTTGGCGCTCCGTGCCGGCGAGACCCTGCAGCTGCCCCCTTGGAGCCCGAGGGCGAGGCGGGCGGCGGCTTCCGCCCCCGTGGACCGGCTGCCGAAGCTGCTGCGCGGAGGTCCAAGTGCTCGGCCTCCGCCCTGCGGGCTTCGGCGAAAGGCTGGCTGGAAAGGAGGCCGGCGGGAGCGCTCTGCTCCCTCCGCAGCGGCCGAGGCACGTGGCTGGGAGGGGCCTGGCTGGGGCGGCGAGGTGCTGGGGGGACGTAGACCCTCTTTGGGCCTTGGGCGGCAGCTCCTCTCGCCTTCCCCAGAGACACCCGGGATGGGCAGTCCCGGAAGGAGAGGAGGGCCGGGAAAGGGTTTGGGACCAGGGGGTTCGGTTCAGAGACACCCCCCCCCCAAGACGGTGGTTCCGCTCCTGGCTTGAGGGGAGAAGCCTCCGAGGATGTCACGGCATGACGCCTTTTCCTCTAGCGGGGCACTCGGCAGCGAAGAGGTGAAACCGAGCCTTTAGTGGCAGAAAAGGGTTTGGCAGCCCAGTTTGCATCCAGAATGGCTGGATCTGGCTGGAGTCCAGAGTGTGGGAACCTTCAATACTCCCCCCTTAGCCTCCCTTAAGGCCACTCTCCCCTGCTCCTTTCCTGGATCAAACCTGGGCTGCCTTCTGCTGGTGAGGACTCTCCCTGTATTTACCACCTTAAGGATGTATCACACCCACCTATTCATAATGGCACTAACTGGTTTTGGTGGTAGCACTGCAAGGTGCTCAAAATCTCCGGAAATGGAGAAGCATATAAATTGCAGTTGAGCCCTGTGCACATTCCGGCTGGGAGGGCTGGGATGGAGGATTTCAGACTGGCACAAGGGGAACCCTTCCAGCAGCTCCTCTTTTTCACTGGGCGCCCCAGTCTTCAGGACGGGAGGAGCTGCAGCCTGGCACTGGGCCTTCCCTGACTCACAGGCCGGCAGGGGCTTTTCTGCAGCACATCTCTTCTGCAAGCACTGAGGTGAGGTTGGGGCCGTGGACTGGGGAGCAGATTGTCATCTCCCATCTTCCTCAGAGGCCTCCAGAAACCCTCCCTTCCTGGGGAACCAACCCAGGAACCAGTCTAGTGATGACGCCTCCCCTCGGGCACAGACATTTTGGACCAGTCTCAGCCTGGCCTACCTCACAGGAGTGTTGTTGAGAAAATGGGAGGAAGCATCTAATGCAGCTGGAGTTCCTGGTGAGGTGTGAATGTAGCCACTAAATTCAGCCCCATCTGAAGATGGTCCTTTTCCCTCTGTTTGCAGCACTCTCCCAATCCCAGGCTTGCCTTCATGAGGCCTCCGGCAGCTACACGATCGCAAGATGGTGCTTGACTCTCCGGCCTATCACCCGCCATTGCATCCGGGGGTTTTCCAGGCGGACCCACAACCCGGGAGAGGGGGGAAGAAGAAAGACAGCCCTCCATGTGTCAGGGGGCACCCGGGCCCCTTCCTGTCCTCTCCTCCGCCTCCGGAGCCGGATTCTTCGGGGCCTGGAAAGAGGACCAAGCAGCCGAAACTCCTCCGGGGCTTGGGAGGCCCCCCTGCCCTGCGTCCCTGCCTCGCCTTGCAGGGCCCTTGCAGCTGGATGCACCGGAGCGAGAGCAGCTGCCTGGTGAACCAGAAGAACTGGGTGGGGAGCCGGATCCGAAGCGCCTCATCCCTCCCTCACCTTCCCAGGGCCAGAGCCGAGGAGGGGGCATGCCGGGCCAGGAAGAGGAGCCCCTGTTTACTGGTGGCCCTACGGCCAGCCAACCTGGAGGCAGAGCGAGAGCGATTCTTCCGGTCTTCGTTTTCCTACAACCCTCAGTTTGAATACGGGGAGTCCGTCCCTGAAGCCGTGCTGGAAAAATACCGAGAGGCCTCTGGGCAGTTCCTGGTGCAGGTAGCCTTCCCTCTGGCCAGCTCCTCGTGCGGCTCTTGCCCGAAGGGAGCCCATCAAAGAGAAGCTGCCTTGGCTGGATGAGGACCATTGGAGGGGGCCAAAGGGTCCATCCGCCTGCAGGCAGCAGGATTCCCTGCCCCATCCCTGCTGAGAGGATGCCCGGGAAAGAGCCTGCCTTAGCATTTGCACCTTCCCACATGTCCTTCCCAAAGCCTTGGAAGCGGGCCCAGGATCAGTGCCCCAGGAGAAGCAGTGCCAGTCCCCTGGCCAGGCCCCATAAAACTTCCCCCCAGTTGCTGCTGGGAGCAGAGCAGCGGGGGCAAGCATGGCCGCCCTCCCGTGCGCCTGCATACCTGGTCAGAAAGAAGGACCTGCCAGGGAAGGAGAGCGGTAGGGGGAGGAGCGCAGGGTCTGCTCATCACTGGACTTTGTTTTGCAGCTCATGCCAAGATGTTGAGCTGATTTCCCAAATTCTCAGACTTTCTGTTCTGGCACTAGGCCGTCTGTTGCCCTCCTACTTGAAAAATCTTTAAGGCAAAGGCTTGATTGTTTGATCCCATTCTTTTCCAGGTCTTGGCATGATGCGCAGAGCAGCACAGCTGGTTATTTTACACAAGCATCTTGGTAGTGGCAGCCCTCCCCAAACTGAATCCTTAATTCACAATCATTTGCACATTGCACTATTAGCCCCAGGATATCTCCCAATTACCCCCAGTTTAGGAACACTGAGTAAACCGGTTTCCTCCCTTACTAAAGAGGAATTTTAAAAATGGCAGGTTAAAAGAATAGGATAAATGGAAGGATCCTGGGCCACCAGACCAGCATTTCTGTACCATCAAATTTGCCACTGTAGTAAGGCTGAGCAACTGCAACCCGAATTGCTTCCAAGGAGTTTCTGGTATGGGGCCTGGTGTGGCCGGTATTTGCCCATTTGATTTTAAGATATGATACTAGAAATCCTAGGCGGCCTCTGGAACCTGGGGAGGGCGAAAAAAGCACGGCCAAACCAGGGAGGAGTCATGCACATAGCATTATGGCGCTCCCACGCATGACCACCCCCCTGTGCTCCCCCCACTTTTCCCACGCAATCCAAAAAAAGTTAGCCATCACTGGTCTAGTGAGATTTCTGAAACCAGTCTTCGTATCAGCTACCTGCATGTTCAGTGCAACCTTCATTGGTCCCACCCAGACCAGAGCACAACCTAGAGCTTGTGATATCCACTTCATCTATCTGTTGCAGGCTACTGGAATAATCAATGCTGTCCTTCAAAAATATGGGACTTATGAGAGCTTTGAGGCCTCCAATGGTGGAAAGCTACTTACCAAATGCCAAATCTGGTCCATCACCAGGAAGTATATGCAGAAGGAAGGCTGCTCTGGAGAGGTGAGTTCTAGGGTTCTGCTCCAAAGGGAACCATCTTTTCCCCGCCCTCCCCCCACAAAAAAAGTTTTTCCCCCATAACCACTCTTCCATCATTAATCTTACCGTGTGTCATCTGGGTGCAGTCTTTGTTACATCATTTTAAATCTATTTTTATCTTATCTTTACATTTACATTTCAATTGCCTTTTAATTCAACTCCTCCCCTGTGTTCTTTTCCAAATTATTCAATTTTCTGTTTCCTTTTGTTTAGATTCTTTTTCTATCCAGTGATAAAAATATCTCCATATCTTATAATACTCTGATTCTTCCTTCTCTTTAATTGCCAATGTTAATCTGTTCATTTCTGCACCATCTAATATTTTTCTAATTACCTGAGGGAATTTTTTCCATTTTCCAATTTTGTGCAAATACAATTCTAGCTGCAGTTATTACATGAATAACTAAATATACATTTTCTTCACTATATTTCTCTGGTAAAATTCCCAACAAAAACAGTTCCGGATTTAAATCAATATGCTTCTGTATCATCCTTTCCAACCACATATGAATTTTGCCCAATATTTTTTTGTCTCTGCACATGTTCACCACATATGATAATAGTATCCCTGTGTATGGTGACACTTCCAACACTTGGTTGATTTGTCTTTAAACATTTTTGCCAATCTTTCTGGTGACATATGCCATCTATAAAACATTTTATACAAATTTTTATATGCTGTTACCATTGTTAATTTATAATTCCTTTCCCATAATTGCTGCCACTTCTCAAGTTCTTTTGTATATCCAAAAATATTTGCCCATGCTATCATTGTTTCTTTTAGTAGTAGTAGTAGTAGTAGTAGTAGCAGCAGTAGTAGCAGTAGCAGTACTACTACTACTACTACTACTTCCAACTTAACACGAAGTAAATAAGTATATAATTTTTTAATCATTTGCTCTTCTGTTCCTGTATTTCATCCAATTCTGTCAATTCCAAATAAAAAACATAAAGCTTTGCATTTTTTTCATTTCTCAATTGTATTTGCAACTTTGTGTACCAAACCATATCCATCCCCAAGGGAACCCTCCTGAGATACCCTGTCTCCATTGTCTTCCTTCTGTTTCTTTTCTCCAGGTGGTGGTTCAGCTCACAGAAGACCTCCTTTCCCAGGCAGTCATGATGGTGGAAAACAGCCGCCCAACTTTAGCCATCAACCTCTCTGGAGCGCGTCAGAACTGGCTGGAGGGCATGCTGCGCCATGAGATAGGTCAGCCCTGAAAGATCTCTCCCTCTTTGACAGCTGCCTTCAAAGTGAGCTTAGATCATTTGGAAATTCATAAAACATGTTGGCCTTAGTGAGATGAGAAGAGACCTAGAGGTTTTCTTCTTTTCCTGAATTGGTTGGAGCTTCAGATTTAAAGAAACTCCAAAGAAAGCAAAACCACAACTTGAGGTTTGATCCAACTAGGAACTGGTTTATCCACTATAAAATACTCCAAGTGCGGTTTATATTTTGTAGGGAATTTTTGGCAATACAGTGATAGTCCTCAACTTATGGCCACCTGCCCTGTCAGGACCAGTGCACAGCTGACTTTGGCCATCATTTTTGGCCATTTTTCGCCTCCTGGAGGCTTCCCTTAACAGACTTCCGGTTTGCACGTTGGGCCATTCTTCACCCTCTGGAGGGCAAAAAACAGTCCTACGGGCAACCCAGAAGTCCGTTCCCAAATTTCCAGTTTGCATGATGGGCTGTTTTTCGCTCTCTGGAGACTCCGGAGGGCTTCTTGGGGGTGGTGTGTTTTCGCCCTCCCCAGGCTCCTAGAAAGCCTTGAGCCTGGGGAGGGTGAATAACGGATCCATCATGCACCAAAAGCGGGGGGAGGGTGGGGGTTGCACAGGCATGTGTGAGGGGGTGTCAGACGCATAGAATTATGGGTGTGGGTATACCTGGGCACAACCCCCCTGTGTTCCCCCTGCTTTTGACATGCGATGGCAAAAAGGTTAGCAGTCACTGAGCTACAGAGTTGATAAACATTGAAAAAAATGCTAGGGTTTGCATATAACAGCATTTTGCCCTCAAAATCAGTTAAGCAAATTCCCTTCATCTCATGAATTTGTCCTTATTTGGCCTGTCATCAGATTCGCCATGGCAAGTTCCCAAATTGCTTTTTAATTATTGATAAAAGAATTCCAACCTAGCAGCCCAAAAGCATGTAAAAATGCAAGTAGAAAAATAGGAACCACTTTTGGTGGGAAGGTATCAGCATTTCATGCACCCTTGGCGTTTAGTCATGCCGGCCACATGACCATGGAGACGTCTTCAGACAGCACTGGCTCTTCGGCTTTGAAACGGAGATGATCACTGCCCCCTAGAGTTGGGAACAACTAACACAAATGTGCCTGGGGAACCTTTAGCTTTACCTATGTTGGCTATTGATTTGATTCTGGGTGCAATTCAAGATGCTGGTTATTACCTTCAAGGCCTCACACGGCTTGTGGTCAGGTTATTTGAAGGAGCGCCCCTCCCCAGCCTAACAAAATGAAGGGATGTTCAATAGAAGCAAAGCCAGTTTTCAAAACGAGATTATAGTGAGATGCATCCTCTTTCCTAGGCACCCACTACATCCGTGGAGTCAACAATGCCTCCCAGCCCTGGCATAGCTCAGAAGGCCGCAAGCGATACAGCCTGAAGCCTGCCAACCCCACAGAGGAAGGGCTGGCCAGCTTGCACAGCGTCCTCTTCCGCAAGCAGCCTTTTCTCTGGAGGGCCGCCCTCCTCTATTACACCGTCTGCCAGGCTGGGCACATGTCCTTCTGTGAACTCTTCTGGGACTTGGGGCGCTACGTGCAGGATGCCGGAGTGCGTTGGGAGTACTGCGTGCGAGCCAAGCGAGGCCAGGCCAACACCTCATTGCCAGGTAGGGGGGTGCAATACGGCCACCCTTTAATCTTTCTGGGCCTCTGACCGCCAAGGGCAGCTGACCTACCCTGTGCCTTCTCTTCTACCTTTCTAACCACTTGGTCCCTGGAAGAGAATGCAGGGAAGCGCCTGCCTGCCTGCCTGCCCTCCATTCAGGGGGGAAAGGCCTGTGTGACTGTCACCATCCCAATTTCTGATCCTCCTTGCCACAGTCCCTAGAGCCCCTGGGCTTTTAAAGTATTTGTCCCTGTGGAGGCTTTTTAGAAACCTAATTGGCATGTAGGGGGCTTGGGGGGTTTCAGCAGCAGCCCACCCCTCAAGGCCAACTTTCTCCTCCCCTCACAAGTTTTCAAAAGCCTGGAGGCAGAAAGAAGCGGCCTGTCAGAGAGCAAGCAGATGTCTTCCCTCCCAACCTCCTTCCGAGTCCAAAAGGATTCCTCCGTGACTTTTCCCAGAGGCCGCAGGCACAGGATCCCTTGGCGGGATGTCTGTGGTGCCAAGCAAGGTGGCCGGGGGCTCTGAACTAAAAGCAGGGGGTTGGGTCACACACACAGGATTGGCTGGTTCTCCTTGGTTTGCAGGCTGCTTCAGCAAAGACCAGGTGTACCTGGAAGGAATCCTCCAGATCCTTCGGCATCGACGAACAATTGATTTCCGGTTGCTGGCTGCACTAGGGAAGGTAGGTGGAGGCCACTTGCTTTCCTGGGAGGCAGACGGGGGGCCAGGCAGAAGGGCCGGCCAGGGGAAGTCGTGGATCTCCCATTTCCCAATTGCTGAGACCTTTGCTTTTGAGAGGAAAGGGGCCACTTTCCCCCTCAAAACTACGTTGCCTAGTGCAAGCTTGGACTTAAGTGATGTTCGCACCAATTGAGGAACGATTAACATTCTGTGAGAAATATTTCTCTAACAGACCCAGCGACTGTTTTCATCACTCATTCATCATTCACACCTTGGACAACAGTATTTGCAGGGGACCCTACTATAGAGCCGAGGTGGCGCAGTGGTTAGGGTGCAGTACTGCAGCTGACTGTTAGCTGCAGTTCAGCGGTTCAAATCTCACTGGCTCAGGGTTTCTATCCTTCCGAGTTGGGTAAAATGAGGACCCAGACTGTGGGGGCAATATGCTGACTCTGTAAACCGCTTAGAGAGGGCTGAAAGCCCTATGAAGCGGTATATAAGTTTAACTGCTATTGCTATTAACAAACTGCTCAGAAAGTCTCCCTAACTTTAGCAGCTGTATGGATCACACGGGTTACCAGGTTTGAAGCCAAAGTCAGTGCGAATGGAAGGCATCGTACCTAGGTTTATAGGCGTAGGCACTTTCCTCCAGCGAAAGGCTTTGGGAGAGTCCCATGGCTGGGTTGGGCAATGACCAGTGTCTGGCTCTGCTCTTTCCACCAGTGCCTGGCCCTGCTCTTTCCACTGGCGAGGTAACCAGGTACAGAATGCAGGCTATTGTGATTGTTGGTCTTGTATCCCAGAGAGATCTCAATCAAGTCAATGAGCTAACATGCAACTGTCCTCCGTCCAGGTCTCTTATGAAGATGTGGACCACCTGAAGAAATACGGGGTGCTGGGGAAGGCGCGAATCCCTCACTTCATGCAGGACCTTGAACGGTATATGCAGCAGCTCAACCACATAGTTGCCACCAATTGTCTCAGTGATGAGGAGCTGGAACTGCTGATGCCAGAGTGAACTTGCTACCTGCCCCTCTGCCACCTCTGCACTTCTGCTGGACAGGCTGTGCTCTAACGAAGATGCCTGAAGTCCCAAAGGAGAATTTTGTTGGACTTCGGCCTGCTGAAAACAAACCAATAGCTATTGGTGTTCTATTTATTCTATTTATTGGGGGTGTGTGGTCTGACTGTGAAGTGAAGCAATCAGAGCAAGGCCAGATCTTTTGAGGGTCCCAAGAGAGAATCCAGCTACCTCTCCTGGACGTTTACTCTTGGCCAGAGATGCTCTTAAGCAGATTGACAAAGATCAAGGTCTGGATTATGCCTTTCTTCTGTGGACGGGTTAGTCTAGATGGTTTGGAACCTGCTAAAATATCCTTAGGCAATATTTCCGGGGTTCTCCAATTGAGCCAACTGAGAATGATCTCCAGATGGCCAGAAAAGTTTTTAAAATATGCTGCTTAAGGGCAGGTGCAGAGGTTCTTCAGCATGACTTTGGTATTCCTTGCTCTCTAATACTGTTTGAAATTATATCTGTAACTGAGTGAACTTTCAATCTGGTCTGGTTGTGCTTGACAAAGGCCATAGGTGGCTAAAGGGAGCTTGGAAAGATGCTGGTTCAATTCTCAGTAAATCACAGCAGATCCCAAGAATTTCAGACTCCAAATGTTTTTTACAAGGGCAACAAAAGGCCTTCCTCCCTCACCCGTTCACCTCCACACTTGTACCTTAATCTTCAGCACACCTGTCCTGTTGCCACCCAATACCATCTGTTTGCCCTCAGTGGGCTGTGGGTTCTAGAAAATGCACAGAAGAACAGGCAGAACTGAAGTCTGCCCAGGGCTGGTTTCCAGCCAGGTTCTTAGGCCAAAAGCTTTGGTGCCTGGACTCTTATCGCAAAAACTATCTTGCTTTCCAAACGACAACTAACCAACTCTCCCTGGCCTTTATCCCAAATGCAAAACATGAATAGTTGCCCTTATTCTTCTGCTAGTTTCAGCTAAATCTTTAAGGAAAAGCCAAACATATTTGGGTCTAAGAATAGAGGAGGAGATTGGGCTACAGAGTCAAATGGTAAGCCATTTGGCAAGTGGTCACTCATGGCGGGGAGACGGGTTATCTTAAGGCAAACTCTTGGCTTTAACAGGGGATCAGTTCTGAGGCTCTCTGGTACAGAAAAGGGTTTTGATGCCCGAGTCTGTCCTGCTGGGCTTAGTAGCTGTTGAGGATGGAGAAAATGGCCTGCTCTTCCCAAGCAGCCTTCGATAGCCTGATGACCCTATGCCCAGCAAGGACTATAATGGGGCAGCTGGGACTAATCAGGCCTGTTCTGGAGTGTAATACAGTCCATCCTCAGGTCAAAGGGCTTTTTGCCGTTTCAAACTTTGCTTATTTGTGGACCTTTGACCCTCTTCCTCAGCCTTTTCAGTTTGATACCCCATGGATGAGTTGGGACTAAAATGGCAAACTCCCAGGCTGTCACAGGTAACACAACTTGCTGAATGAACTAGTGTTTGCAAACCTTTTTGGCACCGAGTGTTGAAATGGGAGTGTGTATGGAGTATGTGTGTGTAGTGGGGGAGCACCAGAAACTGGAAGAGCAGCTCCACGGCATGCACTCATGGGAGTGCATGCCGTGCACTCCCATGAGTGCATACCAATTCCCCAGCACGCATGCGCACAGCGGGAAGCTGAGCTGCTGGTTTCCAGCGTATGCATGCGTGCTGGTGAATTGGTGTTCTGGCTTCTGGCATGCATGCACACACGAAGGCCAGCTGGCCGGTGTGCATCAGAAACCAGAAGGTCACCTTTCTGGCACGTGTATGTGTGCCAGGGAGCTACTGTTCCTGTTTCTGGCACTCCCACGTGCACAAAGACCAGCTGGCCAGCACACCAGAACCCGGAAGAGCCACTGGCGACAGCTGGCATGCCCAGATTGATGGCTCTGTGTGCTATAGGTTTACCCTCACAGAACTAGAGTGATAAGACTTTGTTCAGATGAAGGACTAGACTTGGCCTTTGATGTCCTGGGGTCACATCAAATGTAAATAAAAACAAGAATCAGAGTGGCCCCCCCCCCCCGAAAAAAATCATCTGTTTTAAATTTAATTGAAACTAAACCAATTGAATATAATTATCTGATGCATATAATTTTCCCCTTTTGTCATATTAACGATTCGATTTGACAGCAGCTTCTGGAAAGACTTTTGAAGGCATCCACTTCCATGACTTCGTTGCATTTTGTTTATTCCATCTGAAGAGGCTGAATTGGCCAGGGAGCTGAAAGGATTTGCAACCATAAGTCAATATAAAACTTCTTTGGCCGGCAATGGCCAACGGAACCAACGGCAGCATCATTAACCAATGTTAACACCATCAACTATCATAAAAGAATCTAATTGCAATATTGACACAGCAATTATCCAAAGAAAGTTTATTGGCAGATGTGTTCTATTTTCAAACACAGGAAATGAAGGACTTGCATCCATGTATTAAATGATATTTATCTGAACCCCTTTTAAAAGGGTTTATTAGTTTCTGAACGCTTCCTTGCTGATAGCTTATGCTGCTGAAATGTACAGAATACAGGGGACCCTGGAGCATATCAGACCAATGGCTGTCCAATTGCCTTAAAAACTTCCAGGGATGGAGCATCCCCAACTTCTGGAGGGTAGCCATTCACTGGTTAATTGTTCTCACTCTTTTCCAACAACTCAGGAGAAGACTCTACACATGGACATCACCAGTTGGTCAACACAAAAATCAGATTGACTATGTGCTCTGCAGCCATGATAAGGTGAGTCAGTTAGTTTCAAAAGATGTTCTTTCCAGTTATCGTGAGGTCTGTCAAAAGCCCTTCAGGTAGGTGTTGTAGACCATGAACTAAGCATTGAAAGTTCTCACATCAATACCATCTCTTAAGCCAGCTGTTTACTTCAAAAGTTCTGTTTTTCCTCACTGGATGCTTACATTTCATTGGGAGCACAGAAGAAAACACAACCATTGTCCCCATCTCTCTGGCTTTCATGCCTAGGTGCTCCTAGTCTCTTGGTCGTTTCCACATGAAAGAGAGAAGGATAATAATCTGTGGACTTAGTTATTTTAGTAAGCCTCTCAGTCGCATCATGGATCTGGATGACAGCGAACTTCCCTAGTTAGATTGATTGGTCTGGTTCAGTTTCTTTGAGCACCAAGTCTCGTATCAATAATGCGTGCCTTATTTTTTTTCTTTTTTCTATAATTGGTACACTCAATGATGAGTTTGTTCACTTTCTTCCAAAGGGAGGTAATGATGTTTCACTCTAGCAGGCCTAGACTACACTGGAATTTTTTTTGGGGGTGGTGGTGGTGGTTCCCCTTCTATTGGTGGCAAGTTTGTCATCTGTTTATCTCTAAAGGTTCATTTTCTGTGTTGTCAGTTGTTCCTTACTATGTTAAGTTTGGTTGCAAGCTTCTTCCCTTGAGTTTCTCATTTTGTTGTTTGAATCTCAAAGTAGCTATACATGTCTCTAGGCCTTTTGCTTTTTTCTCTAGATCTTTAATTGTTTCAGGTTTTTCAGTTAGTTTACATTTTGTAGAGATATAATTTGTGTTCTCTATATAGGTGTGTGTGTGTGTCTGTCTGTCTGTCTGTCTGTATATATATATATGTGTGTGCGTGTGTGTGTATGTATGTATATATATATATA